AGTGCAATTGTTTTTTTATTCCTCTCTACCGTTGAGAATGAAATAAAATAAAATAAAAACGGATCACAAAAGGTCGGATCATCCTCGAAGTTAGAACTAAGATAAATAAGAAAAAAGGAAGATCGTAATTACGATCTTCCTTTTTTCTTATTTCACGAGTTGTAGGCAGAATTTTCACGATACTTTATCACAAACGAGTGTCAGCATCATATGTTAAAGTTTAAGAAAATGTAAACCTTTGAGAACAAATAGCTTAAAAAACGTTAGAATCATCGATAAAATACCTCACTTTAGTTACGTATGGAACTTCAATTAAAAGCAGTCAAGATCTGCAATTTTAACCGCTGATGCCCCATATCTGATTGTCTGCTAAAGCTAAATTAAAGTTATCAAAAAAATTACACTGGGGGAGGAACTCTAGGGTTAAAACCCATACTGGATGACTGAGTTACTCAGATTTGTTTTGGTTAGCATTTTTGAATCACCCTGTCTTTCTTTTCATTGGGATTTTTTTCAGGTTATCAATTTATTTTCATATAAACAATCGATTTCAATTAGCTAATTGCCAAGGTTTTACAACATTAGCGGCAATATCATATATGTATGCAAATATTAGATCTAAAATTAAAAGGTTGTTTGGGTTTTTATATTCCAAAATCCCCGAAGGTTATCCCATGGGCCGGGATGTTAACAAAAGTTAAGGTTGGCTAATGCACAGGTATACAGAATCCGTACCTCCTTCTTCCCGCAGGGGTAAAAAGAAAGAATATATTCCGAATTTTGCAGCCCTGTGATCGGAGGATGAATTACTACAAGGTAGATAATAAATCAAGACTTTCATGGGAATAGTTTTCCATTTGTCTGGAACTGTTTTGCAGGTCATCTTTGTTTGTAATTCAAACTTATTAATGCTATTCGCCTTTCTGATGTGTTCTGGGATTATAGCCCTTTGTGTTTCTAAGTATTTCTGATCGTTTGTAATACATATTCTCATTTGTGATATTAATTTTCCATTATTGATTCTCCCCTTATCTTATCCCATTCAGCTGTTTTGAAAAGAGCGAAGACATACTTCACCTGTTGGACGAAAGCTCTCAATTAACAACGTTAATGCCCAGTTGATGGTCCTATATCAGTGTAATAATATTTTTTATTAACCTTTAAATAAATCACAATCTTGACAAACGCTGATTAAAAACTAATAATTGAGTCACCTAATGGACATTTATCGTATGATTTATATTGTTTAGGCCTTGCGCAGTGTAGTTCGTGTTAATGTATTGCATCATTGAAGCTGTTCGAATTCACAATAACCGATCTCATTTATCAACACGCAAGAAGGACTTTAGGGATGTTCTCTAGGCGTACTATTCTAAAACGAATCACCTTATTGGTGTAGCTTAACCAACTAGAGTCACTGAACCATTGACTTCTCATTTGTATGTATTAAAAATATATAAAGAAAGCTATCAACAGAACGATCTTGCAGTTTAACACCCATGGGTGATGTAATTATACTGTTATAAACAAGGGATGAATGTGCCTTTCTCGTGATCTTCATTCTGAATCAAAAGTCACGTCAATCATCAATTGGGAAAAGCTTCAAAAGATTTGATATGTGCTAATCCAACTATATTATTTCCCGCAGGGGTACACTTAAAGAACTTTGAACCTATCGCTCATAGCGGGTATAAACGTGATGCTAGCATGGTCCTTCCTTCACCTAAAAGCGAAAATTTCCCAATGTAGCCTAGCTTCACAGAAATCAAGAACCCAGTAAGTGATGCCATCACGAACAGTGCTTAGTTGAAAACACATGAAAATCGTTTTGATTTGTTTGTTTTACGGACATGTGAGAATTTTATTTGTGTCACCATATATAGATATACTAGCAAATGTAGTCGTGGCACCATTAATATGGATATCCATGTACTTGTAATTATGGCGGGTTGTACATGTACCATTTATGGATATTCTTGTAGTTGTGGCACCATATATGGATATACTTGCAATTGTACTTGTGGTATAAAAATACACTGCATGTGGCTTGTTGCACCATTTATGGATATTTTTATAGTTGTGGCACCATGTATGGATATGCATGTACTTGTAGTCACGGCGCGTTGTACCATTTATGGATATTTTTGTAGTTGTGGCACCATATATGGATATACTTGCAAATATAGTTGTGGCACCATATATGGATACACTTGTAGATATGGCTAGTTGCAACATTTATGGATATTCTTATCGCTGTGGCACCATGTATGGATACATGTATACGTGCACATGTCTTAACAAAAATTGTCTTAGCAAAAATCTTAAATGTAAACATTGACACGGGTTTCTGTTCGTAGTTTTCAATTTGATCATAATTTGTTAAGAGTGGATAATTCATTGTGATTATATTGTCTCAAGGATAAGCCAATATTCAAAATATTCAATTGTAACCATTCAGAAACGTACAGGATGTGCAGACAATCCAAACACTCAAATCATTATAGGGAGTGAGAATAATTAGCCAATAGTCTATAAAATGCAAATATTTAATCGGAAATTGACTATAACTCAAAATTCCTCCCATTGTTCGGGTTTTAACATTTATTTAATAACTCTTATGGCTTTTTATTGTGATTGAAATACCGATAAACCAACATTTCATCATTTCCCACAATTCTAATTGGGATGTTTTTTGAATTATCATTTTATGTATTTTATTTATCATCAATTCCAGACTTTATTATCTTGGTGGGGTCTATTAGTTGATAGTTTCTATTTTTTGCGATTTCCGATTGATTACACATGTTCTGTGATGTCTCGGAGGAATACTTTTAGTAAAGAACTCTTATTAATAAAACCAGTACCAAGGGACCAGAAATGTTTATCTAGTCGGTTACAGATGATCTAGTGCAATCGACAAAGGCACAAGGTGAAAAAGATTGTCCTTAGAAATCTGAGATGACCGCTTTAGAAGTCACACAGTATGCTCAAAATCTGACTCGTTCAATATGTCACCACAATTGTTGAAGTGTGAAAACAAACCCCAACTATCCCAAACCATAATCCAAAGTGAAAATAAACAATGTCTCACCCCTCCCATCATTCAAGTTCCATTATCACAATCCAGGACCTAAGACCAAGGGACATTCAATTCATACTTATGAGTTCATATTGCTATGTCTGGAAATGTCCAGACAAGAAACGAGGACACTCCATAAACCTATGGGTTACGACAATATTTTTGGAACGACAAAATATACACTTGTACACTGGTCGGGAAAATAAGTAAATTAAACACCGAATTAACGACTTACAACACCATGTAAAACAAAGAATCCTTTCGATATACTGCAATGTCGAAGAGAAATAAATAGTTTAATTTGGGAATTGTGCTTTCATACGTACATTAGAGTAATTTCCCAAACACCGAATTCTTTAGCTTTATACAGCTTCCTCATAAAGTCTTCAATTAATCAACGGGCTTCGCTCTCATCAAAATTATGTCAATCCGTCCAATATCTTATTTGACTGTTCCCAAGAGCGTAAACTAATAACTACGACAAAGCATCTCGTCTTTAGCACTGGTCAGTATCATGATACATACGGACCAATATTCCTTTTCAAAGTGGATTTTCTTTAATTTCAACTGAAAATATCAATCCTACGTGTCTCCGGAACGCATACCGTTCTATGTCGATTACTTCACAATCCAACGGAATTTATACCGTTTTAACAAGTAAACGTGAATCGCATCGATGTACACTTTCTCGTATCGTGTACAATGCACGCATCAGTCAAACCTGACAGGTCACGTACACTTACCGCGGTGGCGGTGGGTTCTACGGCTTATAGCAAATAAACCTATATAGGGTGTCTCAAAAAATGTTTTAATGCTCATTCCAAGCAAAAAGACCTAGAACAACTTAAGGGCAACATCCAAAGAGAAATCCAAAACATTCCACCAGAATAATTATCAAATGTGATGAACAATGTAGCAGTAAGGATACAGGCTGTCATCGAAATATGAGGTTACATCAATTATGTGGTGTAAAAGGTAAAGGGTTAAAGCATCAAAAAGACAAGACTGAAATAAAAATGGTGTATTGGGGAGAAAACTTTCATGTTTTGGCTACATGACCATGCAAAAAATGTCTGAAAATATTGATTGGTTTATCTGTGCTCTTGATATACTTTGGGTACATTTTTTGATGTACAGGGTCGTCGAAGCATCCCCACGGTCAAAGGCCAGTAAGCGGCTGCAGGTATCTCCCCATTTCGACTTTCGAATGGTAGAGCAAATGTGACCGAGGCATAACGTAGCACCCTAAGCGGATATTCCTACGTGGAATATGTACTTCATGTAATCAAATTGTCCATTCAATAACAACAAAAATGTTCATTCAATAATAAAAAATATTTTCCAAAAAACAGTATATGAGAAAAGTAATATAACACTATCGTCAGGTCTTTTATCAGCTTGTCTGCAAATTGAAACGCAAATATTGAGATGCTACCTTTTTTGTGTTTGCCACATCCGCTCGCTTAATTGAACGCTGTGATTCGAATCCAACGTTACATGTTAGATGAAATTAAAATAAAAATGTAAATCGTCACGATCCAAAAAACAAAACACTGGTCGCCCCACGAAGACTTAACTACACTATTCAGTTTGTACATTGAGACAAAAACTGAAAGACGGTGTTAGCCGATTGATCTCAAGAATAATGAGTAGTTTTAATGAGTCAGCTGAGAACCAGAGATCATGTAGAAACACAAAAGGAAATATGAAAACAACCTTCATGATATGTTTATAGGACATATATGATTGTTCCTTCAGACATTTTCTCCAGGCGATTGTTACTATTACTAAAGCTATCAAGAGAATAGAGTTTCCTTCTTTCTTTTATTTGTTTTCTGTTTTATAGTGATTGGTTTTACAAAAGTTACGACTTCTCCTGTTGCTTTGTGCTTTAGTCATTTTACCATTTTCTCATTTCCAGACGTGCTCAGAACTCATGCCTTACAATGTCAGTCTTTTCCCAACGTTTGCTAGGACATTACCCTCAGAAGCAAATGTCGCAAAATCAATCATATCTCTGATGAATAATTTCTCGTGGACAAGCTTTACGATCATCGTGGGTAACTCGTCAGAATTGATGTATGCAGCTGATACACTGAAACTCTACGCTCGAACCCATCAAGTAACAATTAACGACATTGTGTATTTTAACGAGAATTATGAGTTAGCTGATTCCATCAAGAAGATGGGCGAGATCGTTGAAAAGACAAAAGATAAAACGAGAAGTGAGTAAAGTGTTTTTAATATGCATTGACATGTCCATTAATCTCCCTGGGGGTTGATGACTCTGTAAAAGATAGGTCAGAACTAGTTGTTTGTTACATTTTGCAGACATTGTTCCAGTAAAATACAACACGGTTACTGAATAATCCCCTATGCACAGCCAGACTGGCATAGAGTTATTGTTTCCATACAAACGGCAATATGTTTTCGAAAGGATTGGTATCGATATGGAGAACTGAATTCAACAATGTTTTTCTCTTAAACCAATCGTTGAAAAGATTCTGTAAAAAACACGGTATTTTATGTAATGTTGACTGATTGACAACAATGTAATGCGAAAATTATTTAGAAATATTTTATATAACTGTTTTTGTTAACATTTTTTAGTGAAAATGTTTTGCTCCTTTCTACCAATTCTTGAGAATGAAATAAAATGTCTTTCCTAACCTTGTTGGAACAAAATAGCATATACAACATGTTTTTAGACCTCTCAATATTATAGTTATGCAAAGGAATTTTTGGTTGATTTTAAAAAAGTATTCAAAAAATTAAAACCAAATCCCCCAACATAGATAAAAACCAAGATAAACCTTTTATTTCATTAACAATGATTAACAAGATACTTTCTTAAAATCAACCAAAATTGCCTTTGTACAATTACAATATTGAGAGACCTAAACACGTTGTGTTTATGTCGTTTTGTTCCAATGAGGTTCAGAAAGATGTTTCATTTCACTCTGGAAACATGATACCAAGAACAAAACAAATGTTTGATGTGTTTTCTAAAACGATATAGATGAAAGTATATATTTATTTTTTAAATTATATTGTTACTCTTCAAAAGATGACCATTAAATTGACGTGTGTTCAAAAAGTTCATATCGATACCACTCCTTTATGAAGCAATATTAGTATACCTGCCCTATACGTGTTGTTGAATGAAATATCTACCTACAATTAAACCGTTTATAGTGAACACCATAAGAAGTGTTAACTGTAGGTCTATTTTCACTACAGAGAGAATGTTTATACAAGATTCAATGTAAAATGTCTTGAAGTGGTGTTCTCTAAACACAGGTGTTCGTTACAGAGAAGTGTTCACTAAGGCAGGTTTTACTGTAGGTCAATGTTCTCACCTATGGCTATCACCCCCTGAATTTTATTGTAACTGTTAAGAAAGCAAGAGACGCAGGTGTGCAATGTCTACAGGTAAGTGATCTTGGCCGTTTACACAGCCCCAGGTTTGATTAATGTCTACGGGTAAGTGATCTTGGGCGTATCCAAATGATCGGTCACCATCGTAATCTTGAACAGTGCTATCATACTATGTCAAATTAATTTTTGTGAAATATCGTTCCAGTATATGTTTTCCTTGGGAACGATGATACTCTCATAGACTTTGCACGCAGCATGTACGACAACCGTTTGGTGGACGAGGGTGAACATGTTGTAGTAGCAGTGCGTGATGGGCCTTACGACCCCAGTATCAATGAAGCCGGGTATTTCCTAAAATGTAAGATACTAACTATGAGATTTGCTATAAACAGAAAAATGTACCCATTGTTTTTAAAATTGAGACCCATTTTTACCAAACCTATGCGCATTTCCTCAAAACAAGACTAGTTGTAAAATACGACAATTTTAGGTTTGCGACCAGATTAATTTTTGAATATTGAGGCAGGGGGTTGTGCAGTACTAAGATACTACAATGGGGTACTCACAAACAAATAGTACATATTAAAAAACCTACAGTACTAAGAGGATATGAAGTGAAAGGTGTAATGAAGACCAAGAACGAATAGAAAACGCTCTCCTTTTCAATTCCAAATTTTCAATTTACGCCTTTTTGTCCTTGATTAACAATTTCACCTCACCCATGGTTCGGTTTTCAAAGAGAACTATAGGCCTGATGGTACATTTAAAGACGTAACTTTGATTGGATTTATTAAATGTCTCTTTTATCAACTTTAAAAAGCGAAGTAATAATTACTTTTCCTTCCAAACCATATCGACCCATCTTTTTCTTTATTCTAAATTACTAAACTAAGATTAAATCAAATTAATAATTTTTAGCTTCACCTCATTACACCAGCCATAGCTATCCAATTTGGATTAGTTCTCTAGCAAGATACGACTGCGTCTTCTATTACATTCTGACACTCATTACATCCTTCCATCAAACGAAAGATTTTCTGATTGAGAAATGAATTTCCGTGATGCTACATGGTGTATATCGTTGTCATGGTGATTATACAGGGTGACCACAAAATGTAACACTCTAAATGATGATTTCTTAATCTCTAAGAACCCTACTGGTTGCTACATTGAACGCTCTTTATATTAAAAAAATTCAAGAAGATTCTACATTTATGGGTCACCCTGTATCTAAGTTTGGCGCTTTGAACAGTTCCTGCAGAGAAGATGGGAAAGCTTACATCCAATCATATACTCGCATTCCGAAGTGTCATCCAACTAATGCCAAGGTCACCAACAAATCCTATGTACGAACTATTCGAGAATGAATCGAGGGACTATCTTGTAAAAGAACCAGCTTTCAAAATCAGTCGGCCACCACCAGGCCTAACTCTTCCAGTAAGTGTTCTTATAATTCTCGTAGTTAGTGAATCAACGTTTTAATCAGAAAGCGCGAGACAACACTTGTTGGGATTCATTTTATTAATATCTACAAGGGTTGTTCAAAAAGATTTGCACAAATATATATAATTGTGAAAATAATGGACCAATCTTGTTCATAGTTGGTATGTATATGTGCCCATATCTTATTCCCTTACACTGTAAAAGTTTCATGTATATATACATACGCCTACTACCATTTTACGGTTGCTATAGTAACCATGGTGATGACACTATGACCCATATCATTTTGTGAAAGATAACTTAAGTAACACATAAACATTAATGTTACTAAATATGCTAAATCACTTATATGAACTGTCATCTTAAATTTAAACAATTTTAGCATTGTTCTCATGGCAAATATTAATCTTATCTCGATATTTCCTATCTTGTTTTCTTTGGTTATGTCAAAGAATGACCGTAAACATACTCTTCAAACATCTTGAACAAATCACCTGATTTTATGGCGTTATCAAAGTTCTCATAAATTCGAAATAATAAAGTTGGAGCAGAAAACATTGATAGAATACATGATAAAGAATGGGGAAACAGTATTACACAAGTTATATTCATTCATGCATTAAGACATATTGCATATGATGACTCCGATAGGCAATGCTAAGTGTTCCAAGAAGATATTAGAAGGGGAAAAGGTATTGAGGGTATCTGTATTTATGAGAAGGCTTGATATCCTATAGGTTGGATGGTTAAGAGAATACATTACTGAAAAGGAAGACTATATGTTAAGTACTGTATATTTAACCCTTTGCATTAGTTAGACTTCACTTCTTAAAAGAGAGCTTCGTCTTCAGTTGTTTAACTAGACTCTGAACGCAGGGTATGTATATTTAGATTAAATATAAATTAGTTATAACATACCCAATTAACAGCTGAAAGTACAAAGATTGACGGAACCATTTCAGGCTTCAGCCTATCAAGGCATTCACAACATCAATTCAATTTAATGACGTCATATGGATCATAGGCCCATTGGCTCAAATTTTGAAGTCAATGTAACTCAGGAAGTATATTGCTTATGGTTCTCAAATTTCATATAAGCTTGTAAGAAGGGTAATACTATATCTGTATCAAATTTCATAAAAATGATAAAATTTCTTAAGAAGCTTTCGTGCAAAACTTTTCGAACGACCCTTGTACATGGCACATGAGCCCATTGTCAGGTTGAGCGTATATACAGGGTGTCCCAAAAAGGAATCCGGGATTTAATTGCTTATTTTTCAAATATGAGTAATAATAGGAATACATTTTTTATCATCTGAGAGGTGATGATGTCTCCTTTCTTATGATACCAAAGTTGTTTATTTTTCTTAACGGATGAGAATCTAAGAGATTTAAGTGATCATGTCAGAAATGAGTTTGTGCCACTTTTTCTTTCATGAATGACTGAACAATGAGAAATTGAAATGGCTATGCCAGGATGGTTATTTTGGGTTATCTCAAGGATAACGTCTACGCAACATCACTGAGAGACATTGATAATCTAAGGGCCGGGATTGTTGCAGCAGTGGTGGATCTAAGGGGACAGAGAGACATCATCAGGGATGCAGTACATGCGATGAGATCTAGGGCAGACATTTGCATTGAAACGAATGGGGGTCATGTTGAAAGACATTGTGGTTAAAACAACTCTGAATGGTCATAACGTTGGGATTTAAAAGGGGTGTTAAATATGATATGTGTAGCTTTAATTGGAATAAATGAATAAAAGAGTAATATCCTGATGTTTGTTGTTAATTATCACTATGTTATGATGGTGAAATTGACTTGGCTGAAAGTGACACAAACCCATTTCTGACATGGTCACTTAGACGAGAACACAAAGACGCAAATGATGGCTCCTGCGAATTTTCCTTAAAACTAGAAAAACAGCAACTCCACGGAGTAGCAAAACCCACCGAACAAAACATAATATGCTTATTATAGCTAGTGTAAATGTTGAAATGTTTGTGCACTTTGTGATAGAAGCATGAAATTTGGCACAAAGTTAGTTTATACCATTGTGAACTAGGCATCATCATATAAAATTTGAACCAAATCCGTTCACTGGTATTTGAGTTATCAAAGATTACATATTTTTACGAAAAATGGCCGCTTTTTTAAAATTAAGCGGCCATATTGAAAATCTCTTTTTGTGCGAAACTCCTTTGTCCCTAGGCATCAGCATATTAAATTTGAACCAAATCCGTCAACGAACGGACGGACGGACGAAAGGACGGCTTCTCTATATCCCCCTCGAACTTCGTTCGGTGGGATAATTATTCATCTTTGAGAAATAAGCAATTTAATCTCGATTTCCTTTTTTGGGGCGCCCTGTATATGTAAAACTGAAATTTAAAACAACATGTCTGGCTGGTACAAAAATATAAACAAACGAATGTTGACAACAAAGAAGTCCATACATTCGGTTCTTACGATTTCAAGAGCAAATCACAATGTCAAATCAAATGGAATCCACTGAAAATGAAATAAAAGGCAAAAATCTAAATCGGGCAGAAAAGCATAATTAATGGATTTCCCAATATTGGTCATTATAGGTAGATATATCAGCAGCTCATCTTTACGATGCCGTCTCCATCTATGTGCGTGCTTTGCATGAACTTCTTGAAGAAGGCGGGAAACCAACAAATGGGAAAGCTATTGCAGAAAAAATAAGATCGAGGACCTTCAAAAGTAGGTTACATTATGTTGTTCAATTAAACGCCGGTGTGCTGCTCACAATTCATTCCTCAAGCCTCAGCCATATTTGCTCTACGGCAACGATGCGGTGGCCGTAGCTTCAAAAAACTTTAAAGCTTTAAAGTCCTTTATCTTTAAAACGTTTTTGGGAAGCTACGGCCGCCGTAGATGAAATGTGGTTAAAGCATTTCTCTCACTGCTAGATAACGCTATACATACTGGCTAATAAAATATTTTGTGCGAATTACCAATTATGGGCATAGTATGAGCTTTAGTAAGTCTATAAGCATCGATGTCCTTCGGAGAAAGATCATTTGATCTGGAGATAACGGGAGAGAAATCACGAAAGGCTGGTCAGGAGGTGGTTAGAGCAGGTGAAGGGGGAACGACCCAAGGCTGTGTGAAACACAATTTATAATAATGTATTATTTTTCAGATCAAAGATATCTCAACTTTTGACAGACCCATTCAATAAACAACATCGCACAATAAATATTGCTGTCAGATAAGATTATGTAGATGCGACTATGATAGATTGTTTTTAAAGGCAATCAGAAAGTAATATATATATTTGAAAGACTGACGTTAACGGGACAAGCTTATGCCATTTTTAGGTGAAATGAAATCCACAATACTTAATCAAGCACTCCAATTCATGCTTGTTTAGAGGAATTAATGGATCATTGACAATAAGTAGCCCTTCTATTGGCAATAACGGAACCACTTAATCTCAAGCTAAATGGAATAGTCAAACAATTAATTAACCCTGCTCCATGTTGCAAATAAATCTTATTTTATTATAAACTAGGTAACAGCAACACCAAGGTGCAGCAAATCCCACCAAACAGTCATGACTGCCATTTTAAAAATGGCCGCCTATAAGCCAAATTGTCATTGGACATTGTAATATGATTCTAAGTGCACACATATACTATTAAACAAAATGACTCCACAGCTTTCCACTTATAGCGTAATAGAACACAAGTATGGCTGATATTTTTCAAAATGGCGGCTCACTATCCAAACTACCATAAGAAAGTGTTTCTAAATAGTCAGAAATAAAACTTCAACAAAACCGCTCCACTACTTTTGATATAGTAAAATACGCAAAATAACGCATATAAAATGGCAGCCATTTTTCAAAATGGCCGTTCATTGGCCAAATTGTCAGAAGAAAGTGAATAAAATTTCAACAAAATCGTTCGACTGCTTTTTGAGTAATAGTAAAATAGCACACATAAAAATGACCCAAATACCGTTGTCCTAGTATCACAGGCTGGTATCGAAAAATTTGTCTGCTGTGACGGAGCGTGCAATTTTTTTTTACTTATATGTTTCGCTCTACTAAAGAAAATTACTTACTCCATACAATGGATATATCATTTGCGGGTAACTTTAACTTCTGTTTGAAGTTCAACAACGCTAAGATGTGAACTGTGAAACTGCTCCGTCACAGCGGACAAAAAACGTAAACACTATTTTTTGGAAACGAATTAAAGACCCAATACATCAATATCTCACGAATACATTCAGAGTTATGCTGAAAACATATGTTAATATTATCGTGTCACTATATCATGCCATTAAAAAGTTAAAAAATAAATGGTACATTTTAGAGTTTGATACTCTGGCGCCGTTTTCAATAGCTTTTACTCCTAGCGTTATGGGACTTCAAACAGAAGTGAAGGTTACCCGCAAATGATATATCCATTGCATGGAGTAAGTAATTTTCGTTGATATAACGAAACATATGAGTTAAAAAATAAATCGTGAAGTATTCTTAGTGTTTTTATGAAAAATAGCATGCTCTGTCACAGCGGACAAATCTTTCAATACCAGGCTGTGGTAATATCAATATGTTTTAAATGTAAAAAATGATACATAGGGTGGTCCAAAAAAAGTGAACCCCTGCAACAGGCAATATTTTCCTTAATACTTGCATGAATGGACTCATATTATCACATCTCGTAGAGAAAGGTCTAACATTTTGGTTGATGCCATAATTTATTCTCAGTCTTAAATTTTGAAGAAATCACAAGAGTTTATCAAACATGCTTGAAATTTAGATATTGTGCAAAATTTTACCAATGTGATTCACGGAAATTGTTGAAACACATTGGATGATCTTAACAGCTTTCGGTTAGAGATACAAGTTTAAAACCCAACCATATGACAAAAGGGATACTATTTAAGCAGAAAACACATTTCACACTTTCATTGATCATTTTGGAGCAGTTTTAACCGTTCATCAGTTCAGGGGTATGTTACCTACTCCAACATTTAAAGGGGGGCTTCTTGTGGAAGGAAGTTGCCCCCTGTGACCAGGAATCTGAGAAGCCCTTCATCAAATATCTTTAAAAAATCAAAAGAAAATCTAATATTTAATGTTTTGAGTCATATTTCATTAGAATTGGTCTATGATTGATGAGAATATTGACATTTCAAGATCATATAGGGGTATGTTCGCGATTTCACTGGAAAATGTTTTTGTCTGTGGAAGCTTAGAACATTTCTTTGGATCACAATAACTTTGCAACTAACAAAGGTAGGATGCTAATTTTAAGCGATAATGTGCGGGATTCAAAATTGAACAAAGTCAGAAAATATTAGTTCTTTAAGACTGCAGCTTAAAAAAATGTCAGGGGAAGGTTGTTGAAGGATTGAAGAATCGCGGATATTGAAAATTACATTTTATCCATTTTCAGTAATATTTGGTTAGGGCTTATAATTTCTGCAAATTTCAAGACTAAAAAAAATGTATGGTTCCAACATAAATTTGAGACCTAATTCTACAATATGTCAAAATAAAAAATAATTCCTGCAAGTAATAAGGGAAATGAAAAATGGCCTATACACTTTCTGATGACAATTTGGCTATAATGATGGTCATTTTTGTGTGTTATTTACGATTTTTGCTGTATACTTCGTTTGTTAAAGTGCCAGCCATGGCTGTTGATGGGATGATGGGATTTGCTACGCTTTGGCGTTGCTGTTCTTTAGTAATTTCAAGGGAAGAGTAGATGGTAAATATTACACAGTGACAAATACAGATTCATATATGCTATAGTGTTCGTTGGGATTTGCTACTCCGTGGAGATTTTCTTTCAACTAATTAATATCCTACATATTGTTTGCATCAAAACATATTGATATTGCAGGTTTACATGTTGTACTTAAAAGACGGTAAAATTGACACTAAAATTGCCGACATTTTGAAAATCATTGTGATCTACTCCAAAATTCCTTCAATTTGAGTTTAATATAGCCATACTTTGAAGGGATCGAAAAATTATTGCGAAATCGTACATAAGACGGCCATTTTGAATTTAACGAGGCTCGAATCAGAAAAAAGATACAATATTTGTAATCTACTCTTAATTGCCTTTCATTTGAGTATAATAAAGCTATACTTCAGAAAGATCTAAAAATTAGCGAAACTTTCTGTTTTCCTGACCCCCCATACACGGCCCCTGGGGGTCAGGATGAAAAACACAGAACAAATGTGAAATAGATAAATGTTGTGAATATACTACCAATATTTCAAACAATAATATTAATTACTTTGGTTTAGAATGAAAAATTTATGATTTTTGCGAAAAAGTCCCGTCATTTTTAAAGCGGCGGCCATCTTGAAAAAAAAATTTGCGTAAAACTATTCACCAATATACATCTTTCCACTAGATATGAAGAAAATCCGTCTACTAATATAGTATTTGAGTTATCTTCCGGACGGACGGACTGACTGACTGACGGACGGAGGGCTTCACTATATCCCTACCGAACTTCGTTCGTTAGGATAATAAAATATATACGATATTGGGCCAGCGGTATTTGAGTTTTTGCCCTGATGGACGTTTGACGGGATAACAAGAGGGTTCCTAATGTTATGAACAAAGGACCCTACTTGTTTAAAATATATCTAATATTCTTACGACGCTGGTATAGCATTTCATAAATTAGGAATAGTAGAGTATACAAAAATTCATACTCTCTGTTTGAATCATCAGAAAGGCTGTCTGAGACATGATGATGTTTTGAATGTATAAATGGTGTGTAACAGTACATTAACAGATCGTATGAATAACACCTCATCCACTAATTAACTATTTAATAATTGAATACTAGATATAATTCATCCAATGCCTATCTTTCCATTTACTCTTGAACTACAACTTCAGTTTTTAACTGATAATTATGGGATTGGTTCAAGGCTGGGACTCCACCCTGCACCAAAGTGATTTACAAGGCCGTTCAATAAGTTCATGCAAAATGGTCTCTTCCTTATTTTCCTCTATTTCTCATTACAATAGCAACCATATTTTCTGACCAATCATATGGCTCCATATTAGGTAAGTTTCAACAAAAAAATCATTAACGAATTTTTGAATAAACTGATTGAACGACCAAGAATGTGCTTGGAAGAATCCTCAGATAAGTGGAGAGTCAAGAACTTTGAATGCTCAGGATGCATTTGAAAATCTCTGTGCAAAAGCCAATACATTTCTCTCACACCTATCTTGTTCTGAAAGTGTTTAATTTTAGGCATTAGGGGGCACGATGTGTTCATAGATGCCAGAGGTAACGCTGAGGCAAACTACAGTGTGATTGCTCTTAAGAAAGACGAGACTAGTGACTATGGCTGGAGCCTTCAACCTGTCGCCAACTTCACCATGACCAATAATGGCTTTGAGATTCCTGTAGGTATCCTCCTTCACTTAGACATTAGAAACGGGTATTTAAGTGTGACAAGTAAGTCCTAAAATGACCATGTATTATTGAGTCTGTATTTCGAATAAAATACAAGTTAAACATCCCAAGAGAGGACTTAAAACAACGTAACCTGATATAGTTATTTGAAAACATAGAAAGCACAAGAGAATAATACCATTTAACAGACAAATTGAAGAGTAATTCTAATTTGCAAAAAGACACGGGGTATTACAGCCATTAAAGCCTGAAGTTTGTTCACGATAAATCACGGTGACATTTTTAGAAACCGAATTACATCAGAAAATCTATTAATTTCAGTTTGACGGAAATCGTAAAAAGAAATAAAACATGGCTAGTGGTTGTCTAATACCTATGATGATGGTATTAATTTACGTGAACTGAGTTCATTCTGCTCTTTAAGAGGGTGGTTGCGTAAATGATGCCAACAATAACTTTTTTTTATTTTTTTATATGTGAAACTTTGTTCAATTCTGAGAAAAATGAGACCAAAAAAAATTAGGGTCACCGTGCTCGAATTTTTTTTACAGCCAAAACAAAATCATACCCAAAACACTAAAAATCACTCTTAGATATCCCCTAAATTGACCTTTTCATTGTATTTCAATGGGAAAAATAATGTATTTTCTCCCCTATAATAACATTAAATAAAAGTAATTTCCCAACAATAACTTTTTTTTATATTTCATTAATTTAAACCTCGTTCAATTGTTAAAATAATGACCCGAAAAAAATATGGGGTAACCGAGCTAATTTTTTTTCTACAGCCAAATCAAAACCATACCCCCAAAACACTAAAATCACTCTTAACATGTCCGTTAATTGCCCTTTCTATTGTAGGTAGTCTAAATGATGGCCCAAAAGTGCTAGGAAAGCAATTATAAATGTACACTTATGACATAGGGCTATGGATAAATTTGGTACCGTTGGAAAGCTCATAGTGCTAATTTTGAGATTCACTTGTTAAAAATTATGAAATGTGGACCTTAAGTGCCCAAATGCTCGTTTCCATAGTAACCACAAAAATAATGACAAGAAAGTGTTTTTTACACATAACTCCCCCAATATTTCTTCGATTTTGATAAAATTTATATCATATTAAAGATAAAATAGAGCTCAATTTTTCAAAATTACATATTCCCCTTCACAACTAGTGTTTTGAGTCAAGTGTACCTGTGAATTATAATGCCACGATTCACATTTTATACAAAAGAGCAAGAAGTAGGCTAAGGTAATTGAAAACTGATGGGATACTGTATCAAATCAACGGTATATCAACGCTATATCAAATCAATGGTATCATGGTAAAGGTCGTACGGATGTAGTTCAGCGAGTTCTGTCAAAAAGTAGTTCGAAGAATAAGGACACATCTAGCTAAAGTGATCTGGGGTTACTTTCTTTGGGTATTTTCTTGGGGTAAAACAATGTTATTTGTTGACCGTTGTGATCACAGAAGTTAAAAAACCAAGAAGCTTACTCAAACGATCAGAAAATATCTCTTTCTCTATCTGTAATGCAGTCTTTTCCCCTCGGATGCTTTGGACAAGTAAATGTGATGTTAATAGCATCTTCAACATATACTTTAAAACATGTCACGCAAAACAACATTCTATCCAAGATTTTATTTTCAATAAATAATACTCTTGATGTATTCTTTGTGTTGACAACCATATTTAAAATGACATTTCGTGCAAGAGATAAGTTTGAGAAGCTTGATTATACTTAGCAAAGTAACGAGCCATTGCGTTTGATTTACACAAAGAGATTTATCAAAGCTGCAAACTGGGTGTATAAATCAGGATATATCGTCAGGATTTGATTAGTATTTACATATTTACTACTTCACTAACTGCTCTAGTACTGGTTCATCATAATGAATAACAGAATTCACAACAAAGTATATTGCGGCAAAATGAGCTCATTCGCAGTTACTAGTTTAGGGCTTGGTCCAATGGGTCATCTTGATTGAGCATCAATGTCTTAATGTCCCATTGTCTTGTGATAATGATATTACCTGGAAAAGGGGATGGGTGCAAGGAGGATTGTTAGGAAGTGCAAGGTGATGGGGTGGGGTGTTAAAGGGTACAAGGTGAGGGGGTTGATATGGGGTGCAAGATGAGGAGGGATTAGGGGGTAATTCCTTATAACTGGTTGTGCTCTTTGTTCTTTTTCTTTCCGTGTTTTGCGATAGCAATTGATATATCCTCTTCGTAGTACCTATGCCAACTAAAACTTCCCCCACCAGGAATCATTATGACAATCCCAGATCAAAGACAATTGGACATTTCGTTAATACTGATCATAGAAGCCGATAATTACACGTCGTTAGATGAAAGCAGTTGTACAAACTAGAAAACAGCAACTCCACGGAGTAGCAAATCCCACCGAACAAAAACTGTTTTGATAAATGGCAGCCATCTTGAAAATTTTTCCTTGACCAGATCTTCCTTGTCCCTAGCTATCAGGATATAAAATTTGATCCAAATCCGTCAACTGGTATTTGAGTTATCTAAGATTATGTTTTTCAAAAATGGCAGCCATTTTGAAATTCATGTACAATCTTGGAAATTGGAGGAGGGATTAGGGGGTAATTCCTTATAACTGGTTGTGCTCTTTGTTCTTTTTCTTTCCGTGTTTTGCGATAGCAATTGATATATCCTCTTCGTAATACCTATGCCAACTAAAACTTCCCCCACCAGGAATCATTATGACAATCCCAGATCAAAGACAATTGGACATTTCGTTAATACTGATCATAGAAGGCAATAATTACATGTCGTTAGATGAAAGCAGTTGTACAAACTAGAAAACAGCAACTCCACGGAGTAGCAAATCCCACCGAACAAAAACTGTTTTGATAAATGGCAGCCATCTTGAAAATTTCTTCTTGACCAGATCTTCCTTGTCCCTAGCTATCAGGATATAAAATTTGATCCAAATCCGTCAACTGGTATTTGAGTTATCTAAGATTATGTTTTTCAAAAATGGCAGCCATTTTGAAATTCATGTACAATCTTGGAAATTTCTTCCCAAGTAGAGCTCCTTTATCTCAAGACATCAGCATATAAAATTTGAACTAAATCCGTTCACTGGTACTTGTGTTATCAAATATTATATTTTTTATGAAATATGGCCGCCATTTTGAAATTTGGTGTAGCCATCTTGAAAATGTCTTCTTGAGTGGAGCTCCCATGTCTCTAGGCATCAGGATATAAAATTTTAACCAAATCCATCAACTGGTTTTTGAGTCAACAAAGATAACATTTCTAATGAAAAATGGCGGCCATTTTGAAATTTGGTAAAAATTTGAAAATGTATTTCCGATTGGAGCTCTTGTGTCTTTAGGCATCAGCATATAACATTTGAACCAAATCCCTCCACCGGTTTTTGAGTTATTAAAGCTTACGTTCTGTTACGACGAATGGCGGCCATTTTGAAATTCAGCTGCAATCTAGAAAATTCCTTTTCGATCATAGATTCTGTGTCCATGGGTATCAAAATGTAAAATTAGAACTAAACCTGTCAAATGGTACTTGCGTTATCAAACATTACTTTTTTATGATGAATAGCCGCCATTTTGAAAATAAGTGGCCCTTGAAAATCTCTTCTTCAGCAAAGCTTCTTTGTCTTTAGGCATCAGCATATAAAATTTGAACCAAATCTGTGAACTAGTATTTGAGTTATCCAAGATTAATCTTTTACGAAAAATGGCGGCCATTTTGAATAAAGCGGCCATATTGAAAATTCCTTCTCCAGTAGGTCCTGCATCCATAAGCCCGTGACATTTAAACCAAATCCGTCAACCGGTATTTGAATTATTGCCCGGACACATGAACGAACGGACAAACGGACGAATGGCTTTCCTATATCCCCCTCGAACTTTGTTCGGTGGGATAATTATTACTCACATACGATACAAATTATGTTGACAAAATCCAGTCCAAAAGTACCCAAATGGGCATTCATCTGCGAATATACTACATAGTCTAGCCATTAACACCATTACAAAATATCGTCGAAAATTGGGAACTTTTTCACGACTGTTACATTCATAAATGTACGCTTGTTTAAACACATTAGTGCAGTCGTTTTTTTGTAAACTATTTACGTACGACAACGCGTGATTTAACTAACACATACTTCTAATCATGGGCTTTCAACTAGAATTGAAAGCCCATGTTCTAATCAATAATGAGAATACGCAAAAACATATTTTAGGTATTCAACTACGACAATGGCATTGAGTGGGTCTCCGGGAGTGTTCCCGTCAGTGAACCCCAGTGCGGATTTGATGGTTCTAAATGTATAGAGACACCAACCGATTGGACAGCGGCAGCACTATGTGGCCTCGGGGTGGCTATTGTTATAGTGGCTGCCGTATTCGCGTGTAGGTAAGCTAGTTCTATATGATACATGTGGTATTATTTTTAATTCTAAAAGTGCTTTCCGCATAACCAATTGTAGTCCATGGTATGATTCCTATGACGTCTAATAAAGGAACTGGTAGCACACCATAATGCAGCGATATTTGACCTAATGTCAACATACCACATATTTCCCATATCAATTTTTATTACAGCCGTTTACTTTACTTCCGGCTTTTAGGCTGAATTCACCTGTCATTACCAGGGGTCACTATTGTGCTGTTATAAGGTTCTATTTTCACAACTGTGTAACTGAGTATTTTCTTTTGACGTATCGCAAAAAGGTGGCGCATTTGTTTTTTAAGGGTATCGCGTGAATGTAACTTTGATTCCCCAGATTATAAGATAATATTCTAATTAAAGTTATATATCATTTTAAAGCTGTTTCGATGAAGATTTTAGATCAACTACACTCCGTTCACATTTTTTGCGCGTTCGTTTTTAAAAAAGAGTTTTTTACCAAAACATCTGGCAAATATCCCATGTTGACACGTTACATTTTGAATTATTTTTCGTCTTTAAACGCTCATAACTCAAACAATATATGACTATGATACTTATTTTTCGTCTTGATAAAGGTAGATGGAAGTTTTATTTCAAAGGATGAATTTTAGTAAGCGTCCCATATTGTGACGTCATAGAGTCTGAAAAATAGAATCTGTTGACAGCGACCTTTTTTGCTCATTTTTTGGTACCTTCAACTTTTCAGGTGTACATTAAACAAAAAATACGAGATCAATTTTTAATAAATCATACATGATTATTTTGCTCCTAAACTCTAGTTTATTAATAAATAGTTGATTTTGTTCACAAAAGTATAAGTTTTCTGTTGTATGTGGAAAAGTGGAGGACGAAAGGTTTTCAAAATTCATTAAAATAGGGCTAATTTACGCCATTCGCCTATTTTCAAGCACAGCAACACGTATATTTATTTCACCTAAAATATCAATTGATTCGTGTTTTATGATGCTCCTAGCCCATTAACAATATATATATGATATCAGAGTTATTCGTCTAAAATGTTTTGAGATATAGAGGTAAATGTGGAGGACGAAAGAATTTTCATGTGTGTACATTTTTCTCAAAAACGTCACATTCTATCATGTTAAAAGCGAGGATCCTCTGGATTACGCCACAAAATGTGTAACAATGCGTGCGCGAGCTTTTTGCGAGACGTCTTTATATTCAGATCAGTAACAACTGACTCAACATCGAAGTTATTGAACATTGAAGATATATAAATATTCAAAATCATTAAGTCGAAAAATGTGACGACTCGCACCTGTTGAGTAGGCCTACCTTCAAATAGAACCTTTAGCATAGAGGCGGGACAAGGTAGAAATGGATGTGCAAATAATATTGTAAAATTGTGACAATTTCCCAAAAATGCTTCTCTTTTTGCCCTTTTACCTAAACGAACACATCAAGGAGACCTCATCATTATTTCAAAGATGAAGCTATAATACTTTTCAGAAACAAAACATGTCGATCGAAATCTGCCATTTTCGTTTTCAAATAAAGATTATCTGAAAAGCAAGTCTAAAAGTGGTTCACCAATAAATTAATTACGTGAAGCATATTTTTATTGTTGACAACCTACCTCAGAAAAGAGGGTATAACCGTCTTTTGTCATTTAGAAACAACAGAGGCTATAATGCTCATTGGAGGTTTTATTTTCTCCTATATCATCATGAAATGATGTTACTCGAAGGTTGTGGGAGTATATAAACCCCACAATAATATTTCATTAATGAGATAAACTTTGATAATGAAAGGGTAAGCACCCGTGATAGAATCTTCAATACTGGCTCTACCGTTCATATTCTTCCTTTCAATTTATCAAAGATCATTTCAAAGAACAAACCACAAAAAGGCCTGTAATTCCATAACAGAATGTCGATATTAAAAGCCATTTGATATTATACTCGAGAATCATGATAGATAGGGATCTTTGATATATCTTTAATAATACTAAATAATGCCTACTTATACCGTATATATTTACAATGTGCTTTATCTCATGATCCTTAACGCGAATAAACATGAATAGCGAATTGTATTGTGATAATTAAAGTTATGCATATCAATCAGTGGTTGATTTATGCCACAATGTGATATTCTTATGAAAGATTGTGTCACCCCAACCTGCCTGTTATGATTGCAACGTCTGACATGCCGTGATCAATTACCCCATAAGCTATAAGGTCTTTAGATCAAGCGAATGCTGCTTGACTGGAGCACACCAGCTTGAAATGAAATCATAGAAAACTCCATGATAGGCCTATTGTGAATAAAACTGATCAAGTATTGCACAATATGAATTTACCATGCATTGCGGCCATCGATCTTGCCCAAATTTTCCATCTGAACAAAGCCAAATGCAGAATCCAGCCAGATTGTCTGTACATGTAGTAGAATTTGAAGAATATTTCCTCAAGCTCAGACATCTTTAAACCCCTTCTTGTCACCTGAACTTCCATTCGAAGCGTCGTTCATAATGACGATACTACCTAATATGAAAGAATACATGTACTTATAGGCATTATTTATACGAGCAGAAACTGGAGCGACTTCTGTGGAAGATAGACGCTAAAGAATTAACAGTTGTTGATAATGCAGTTGAGCAAGTAGACACGGAGAAACCAAAACGAAAAAGTAGTCGATTTAGTTTCTTTATGCTAGAACCAACTATAGAGCCAACAAACAGATCGGAGAGTCGAATCAGCAAACAGTACTTCACAAAGGTCGCCTCATACAAGGGGAACATAGTTTCCGTGAAGCATATTCGTAAAAAGAGTTTAGAATTGAACAGAGCGTTGAAGAAAATTTTTCAGATAAGAAAGGAGCTGACGCATGATAATATCAATAAATTTATCGGTGCCTGTATAGACCCTCCTAACATTGTCGTGGTGACACATTACTGCGCAAGAGGATCGCTGAAGGTGATTAAAAGAATGCACATTAATTAACCTACAATACGACAAAACTATTTCTTGCATAATTGTATAATCTCATTGAGTATTATACAGCAAAATTCCCAATTAAGAATCAAAGACAATAATCCCTTCATTTAATTGGAATGTCTCAAATGAAATTAAAGTTTTATTTCATGGTGTAAATCTAGATAAGTTAGTTCATTTACTATTCATACGCTCCCACGAGCACCACTTGTACATTTCAACAGGGTTAATGGCAGTGTTTGAATAGATAAAACATTCGGGTAACCTTTTCTGTTGCAGGATATCTTGGAGAACAATGATTTACACTTAGACGATATGTTCATCTCTTCTCTTGTAAGCGATCTGATCAAGGTAATTGAACCAAATAGAGACATACACATAGGCTAGTTTATAAATCATCCATAACAATCATAGTTTTCTATCATCTTATACAAAATGACAGAGAGGAAATTATTAATGGCAGAAACCATACAACTTCATTGCAAAATGTTTTCAAGGCTTCATTGGGAAAATTGAAACGTTTTCAAGACTACAATTTACCATGTAAAGGCTTTTAGTTAATAACATGCTCTTGTGTTATATCTTCACATCCCTATCATTTTCATCCAGTCGAGACAAATGCCACATTGACTGTACTAGGCGTTTGGTGTACGTCTATGAATTATTTCTTTTTGATGAGTATTCTCGTTGGAGTTATCCATTAGGAATACATTGGCCAAGTGCTAGACATTGCTAGATGTTTATTTCGTTTTTAAGTAGATCATCAAGTAAGACAATTGGCAGAAAACATCAATTTGACGATATGCAACAGATTTTATCTTTAGTCTTTTTCTCTGTACTAGGCATTGATCTACTCTAGTAGGGTCTCATTGTTATGTTTTTGCCATTCACGGTTAGACAGTTCACCTTCATCATAGCTTTATATTCTTTTATCTGTTTATTAGACACCAGATTGGATTTTTGAATTAATAAGTCTGGAATGTGGGGTCTTGAACTGAATTTTGTTCAACTTCACCTATTTAGTTTTTATGTGTCACAGCAGCCACGCTATCTTAAAGCCAATAATTTGAAGTTTGAGACGGGAATCGTGGCCATGGAGGCAAACAGAATCAAGATAGTTCTAACATGGTGGAACATGTTCTATTTCCTTTTTATTACAGTTGTATTTTTAAACACTTTATTTACAGGGCATGACGTATTTGCACGAAAGTGAGTTCATATCGCACGGCAATCTGAAGTCATCCAATTGTTTGGTGGATAGTCGCTGGGTTCTCCAAGTCTCTGATTTTGGTCTTCATCATATAAGAGCATCGGACATTGCAGCTGCAAACACAATGGATGAAGAGAAACAATACAAAAGTGAGACTTGCTTGGCAATTTGCTAACTAAATGGTCATTCAATTAGAGTAAGTTAACAAGATGTGATAAATCAACACAAATTGCTGCAGAACGGAAAATCAAATTAATGCTGATCACGCCGGATGCTATAAATTAATTAAACGTATGGGTATTGTAATAAAAATACAAGAAGTCTGTCTGGCTATACTTTTCAAAAGAAATCACATTAGAGATTCTTGATTGCAAATCATTGTAATGGATTTACTTTATGTGAACTTAGTTTTGTGTTTAGAAAGCGTTGGATCATACTTTGGGATATTGGGGTTTATTTTCCCCATATGGTTGATGTTTCTTGTTGTTGTATTTTGTAATACTCTTTAATCTTTTCCCTTGCGACAGTTGTGTTGTATGTTGTCCAGACAAATGTTTGAAGAGCAAATTCACCAAACATTGATAATATTGCAAATTACTGTAATTCACTTACCATATTCAAACCTCAGTGAGCATGTGTTTTAGAACTCCTATGGACTGCGCCAGAATTAATGCGAGAAACGTGCCCACCTGATCGAGGAACACAGAAAGCCGATGTTTACTCGTTCGCTATCATTCTACATGAGATAATAGCAAGAAATGGTCCTTGGGGGAAAGTCAACTTATCTGCAAATGGTAAAGTTGTTATACATTATACAGAATTGCACCCATCTTTACAAATAAATTGATACACGATTTTATATGAGATTTATCCATGGAACGTTGTTGAACAAAATGTAATACAAACTTTCAGAAATAATTAAACGCGTGAGAATGGTTAGGAATGATGAATTTCGGCCAGATGTGTCAATGTTGAACAAAGATGACAACATTGTGAAGTGTATGTGTGACTGCTGGGACGAAAACCCAGAGCTACGTCCGGATTTCAAATACATTAGAATAAGACTGAAGAGCATCCACAAAGGATTGTAAGGCTTTTAAATAGTTTCATGTTGAATATTGTGCACATTGTGGCTATCTTTGCAAAAGCAAATCTTTTCAAACTGTCTGTAGACTATTTTAGACTTTCATTGATATTGTGGCTGTTTTGGAAATGTTTTGTATTTTAAGGTGTTTGACACGATTTTACTTGTTTTGATGATAATATTTTAGGAGATCAAATATATTCGACAATATGCTTGCTATGATGGAAAAGTATGCGAACAATCTAGAAGCGCTAGTTGATGAACGGACTGACCAGTTGATTGAGGAGAAAAGACGAACTGAAGCATTGCTTCTACGCATGCTTCCAAAGTAGGTCACATATTACATTGTTGCTCCAACTTATATGTCCTTATTACTAACAAATAACTAATAATCATACACTAAGATAATAAGAGAGCGTGCACGAGGGCATTATCCTTTCACCATGATTGATGACAGGTTGACTACAGCTTGTTAAGAATAGTAAATACCTATAAAAACAGCTGTCCTTTAATTTTCGCTTAACTCCGGAACTCAGCGCTGTTTTTCCTTACTGCTGTCCTTGATTTAATCTCCCACAATTTATATTTCTGTCATATGCTATCTCTTGTAGTAGGATACCTTAATCTATGATAGCATGCGATGTCATTATATTTTCTGGTGTATTATCTTGTACCCACCTTTACTATTAATCTTAGCTTGATTGTAATATCTTTGTGTCATCTGGAATTAGTAGCCAGGTTGTTTCTTGATCTTTTGTTTAACAACAGAAATATAATGTTCTTCCATCGGTCGTTTAATTTATTTCACTACAAGTATATTTTTATTTTCTAACTTAAAACAGAAAATCTGCAATGGCTTGTAATAATGCTTCCTGGACGCTTGGGGTGGGGAGGGAGGTTTGGGAGGGGGGGGGGGGGTGTTGCGATCGAATGTTAGTATGTTTAATTATAATTTTGTATATTGAGGCTTGTTTCTTTCATGACCAGCTGCAACCTTTAAGATATTTCTAACCTTGATTAAACAATGTTAAATCATATGGCCCTTCTCAATTATGAACATAAGTTTATTTCGTTTCACTCTTTAAACATAAAGGTAAAATAGTTTATATTTTTTGTTGATATATGTAATCCCAGTTCCATTGATATTAAAGGTCTATGTGCAGTATGGCAAGTGATTTTAGACGGTCATATCATTCATTTTTTAGGGATAAATACAGTGGTTTTTGTTAATACAGTAAGTTTTCTTTCAAGTGATGGTGATGATCTTTCCCCATGATGATAAAAATATCAATCGAAAAATTTGAAAAATTATGTATAGGGACCCCATGTCAACAAGTTTTTCAAAATATTGAACCTATTTACTCAAAATAGGATCTTCTTTTTCTGATTTTTATTGCATGAAAAGATAATCCAACAAGGGGTCTAAAACTTCTTCAAAAATAGATTGGTATTGAAAGTCTTGTTTTGAAGATATCAATTTTCGATGACCAAAGTTGAAAACAATGGATATCATGAGTTTTCCCTATGGGAGAATAACATGGGATATATGGTTTATAATTTTATCGCATTTCAATACCCTCCCCCTTTTCAGAAGTTATCAATATAGTATAGAAGAAACTTTTGAATATATAAGCATAAATGCCAAAGGGAAGGGTGACTAAAAACTTTAAAGAAACCCAACAAGAAAAGCAAACTGTAAGTGTAAATCTGTCAAAAGAAAAGTAGACCCTATATATCCCAAAACCGTGATCTAACGTGAAAAGAAACAATGTCTAACATCCCAATCCCCCCTCCAATCGAGAACCCATATCACAATCCAGGACCAGAACACCAAGGGACATTTCAATTATACTGAAGTCATTACAATACATGTTAAAGAAAAATTGAAAAAATTGATAGCCAATACTCATAACATCAAAAATAGTTGTAGATACTAGTACTCATAAAAGATAGAGTATTCAGTCTCATATGATGTGGGATAGATAAAATCCAGTCTTGAAGTCCATAGGCAATTCAAAGGGTCAACATCCGTTCGCAAAGCCGTCATCATAATCCATAAAACACAACAATTCACAATGGTCATCAGGAGAAAACTATGGCTGGGTTTCGATCCCTATTTCTCAACCATTAATGCCATAGCCGGGATCCACCTCAAAAGGTGCCAAGTGAAAAAATTGTGAGTTCATTGCCAATTTAATTATACCATTCCTACATCCTTCAGCATCTCAAGTGGTAAAACTTGAAATTTCGAAATTAATGACTTGTACTTTTCAGCAAAGCCCAAAAAGTATTTCTTAAGTTTTTTACAAGTATAACCTTGACCTAACAGCTTGATCACTAAAATATGGTGTCTTGATTTGAAATCTGGATATTTTGAACACGCCCTGCTATATCTAATAAGCTTGGATAGATAAACCCCATATGCTGGGTTAAGTGGAATATTGCTATCCAAATGTGGAAAGTTAACTATGTCATAATTAAAGTCATCTCTTTTGTCATATAATTTACAATATATACTAATGTCTGGTTCAATGTTAATAAGAGGATCAAGATAAGGTGCACTCATATCAGATTCATTAGTTTTTTTCAATTCTAGCTCAGTAGGATATATCTCACCTACAAAGTCTTTAAATTTTGGGTTGTCTAAACTCAACAAGTCATCAATATATCAATCTGTCTTATTAAATAACTTTGCAATATGAAATTTACTTTTATCTTTCATCATCCTTTGTAAAAATTTATACTCATACGAGAATAGAAAAAGATCTGCTAAAAGAGGAGCACAATCTGTACCCATTGGTATACCTACATTCTGACGTAAAACTGTACTTCCAAATTTAACAAATATATTATCAATAAGAAAGCCTAGCACCTCAAAGAATTGTACTGCAGTGAAAGAAATATATTTATCATATTGTTCACTAGAAAAGAAAGCCCTATTTGAATTACAGTTAACATATTTAAATTTACAACCCATCATTGTCTTTTTAATGATTCCAAATATTTCATATTTTAACTTGTCATGAGGAATTGATGTGTAAAGTGTAGAAAAATCCCACGTTGAAATACATTTAACTTTTGAATAAATCGGGTCATTAAAAGATCTTTGGAATTTTTAAGGATCCACATATGGTTAACCCCGGAATTTCTAAAAATAGCCTTACAATAAGCCTCCCTATTATTTTTAACAGCTTGACGACACCTTGTCAATAGTCCAGAAACCTTTTTAGTGGAACAGACTCTAGACCCAGCAATAAACCTAGCTTTATAAGGAGCTTTATGTAACTTTGGTGTCCAGTAAATTTGGGGTTAAATTTTATGGTTTAAATTGAGAAAAACAAGATCCTCTTTTTAGAAAATATAAGCCTGACATTTAAAAAAAGTGACAAGGTGGGGTCCTAATCCATAATTTTTGGAAAGTTGAATTGATATTTTACTATCATGGGGACCTCACTTGAAAGAAAACATATTGTTTTAATAAAAACCACTGTATTTATGCCTAAAAAATAACTCATGGTGAAAGATATGACAGTCTTAAACCACTTGCCATACTGCACATACACCTTTTATTTCACTACATTTATAATAGATCTGTGGCTGACCAACTAAAGAAAAGGAAACCAGTGGTACCAGAACAATATGAGTGTGTTACAATCTACTTCAGTGATATTGTTGGCTTTACAAGCATGTCAGCTCAGAGCACCCCATTGCAGGTAATCATCGAAATATATGCAGCTAGTGTTGCATCATGGAGATGTGACTCCAATGAGTATATGTACAATGTGCATCATGGGGATGTCACACACATGGGCATGTGTGCATGTTGTACCACAGAGATATAACTCACATATGCATATCCTTGGATGCATATGATATATGAAATCTTGTATCATGTTGCATAATAGTATCATAATAGTATCATAGCATAGCATCATAGTATCATAGAGGTGTGACTCACATATGCATATGTGTAATGTAGTATCATGAAGATGTTAATCCCATTTGCACATGTGTAATCATGTATCATAGTATCATGAAGATGTTAATCCCATTTGCACATGTGTAATCATGTATCATAGTATCATGAAGATGTTAATCACATTTGCAGATGTGTAATCTTGTATCATAGTATTATGGAGGTGTGACTCACACAGTCGTCATATTGTGCAGTTGTTAAATCGCCGCCTTGTCTTATTTGGTTCACAGGTGATTGATATTCTAAATGACCTCTACACAACCTTTGATTCTATTATCGAGAACTATGATGTATACAAGGTTGAGACAATTGGGGATGCTTACATGGTTGTGTCAGGATGTCCTACACGGAATGGGTAAGCTGTTCAGCCAGTCGTTACTCACATCAAAAAGCGAATTTATGTCTCAATGGTTATTATTACAGAAAATGTATTATTCCCTTTATCGTTCACTTACACTTTGTTTGTTCAATGATTCACGGTATTTGATACAATTAAGTGGCATTATTGTTGTTATGTATCTTACTTTCTTCAATGCTTCAGGAACAACCATGCAGGGGAAATAGCCTCCATGTCTATAGCTCTTCTAAGTGCGATAAAGTCTTTCAGAATCCGCCACATCAAATCTGAGACACTGAAATTGAGAATAGGCATACACTCAGGTACACTGTTTTAAAAAGTTTGACTGTTTCATGAAAAACAAATCTTAGTTGAATTTTCTTGCCAAAGTTGTATGATACCACTCCATGCATTTTGTCTCTTCAACTTGTGTAAGGAACCATTTAGCCTAGGAGCAAGCAAAGATTAATTGACACTTCGAGTACAAAAGGTATAAGCCTGGCCTGCAATTAGTAGATATGTGTCCGACATCACAAGAAAAGTAACTCTTAGGTGAAATATTTCGGCCAACCACCAGGTGGCCCTCTTCAAAATGCCCAAAAATTGGTTTTAAATGACATTTCGAGTACATCAACCAAACAAATGCCAATTTTCATTTCAACACTAAAAAGGTATCATTTGGCATTGGTTTGCTCAATTTACTTGAGATGTCATTTAATGTCAATTTAGCGCTCCCTATAAGCTGCTCAGAAATGAACTTGGGGCCATGAGTGGCATTTAAGAGTGATTTATTTTCATTTTAATACTAAAAAGGAATTATTTGGCCTCAAACATTTTGTATTTGAGATGTCAATTAAATCTTTGCTCGCTCCTAGTCAACGCCTCAATCTACACGTAGGAACGTTATGAAAGGATTTATACTGACATTTATTTGTAACAGACCTTCATCATCTTAGGCCCACACAAGCACGTTTCAATATTCACTTCATTTGTAAGCTTTTAAATCTTTCCATTCACATTGTAAAAACATTGCCATCTTAATGTCTCTTTTATTTTTAAAATGTCCTGAAACAGTAAAGCTAACCTTGCAGGTCCAGTAGTGGCTGGTGTAGTTGGGTTGAAGATGCCTCGCTACTGTCTGTTTGGGGACACTGTCAACACAGCCTCTAGAATGGAGTCAAGTGGAGTTGGTAGGCATGGTTACACGTTAAAACATGGTGATCCTTATAAATACACAATTATAGCAAATATTTCTATACATAATGCATTTATATTTCTTTGAATACTTTTTATCATCTTTTATCTCATTATAAATTCTAGCCTTAAAAATCCACTGCAGTAAAGAAACGAAGGAGATCTTAGATGGACTTAATGGGTATCACATGGATGAACGTGGAATGGTTAATATTAAGGTAAACAAATCATCAATTAGAAGTTGCACCTAACACTAAATAAGTTGGGCCATTTATGAGAAGCGGTGATGCAACAAGAGACAGAGATGACCATTAAGGTAACAGGTAGAATACTGAGCTACCTGTATGAGTGAATTGTATTACTATATACATAAAATACATAAGACTAATACTAATCATAAGACTAAGCCGTCTGTAATAATATTATTATAAGGCATTATATTGTAAAATGCAAAATGTCACCACCTACAGTTTGTTAAACTTGAACGCCGAACACTGTCCAAAAAATTGGAGACTAACAATAAGCAACAGAATACAAGTGTTACCATTGCAAATATGTTGTAAATACAAGAACATTTTACTCACCATTTATTAATTTCAGGGAAAGGGGGATATGTTCACATATTTTCTCACTGGTGAAGATAAAATCGTACGAGAGCGGCGTATATCTAGAGAGAGTAACATGTCTAACAGGGTTCATGACAACGTAGAAGTTCACAATCTAGACGAATGTGCAGGGAAAGTTGTGTACTTTCCAAAGGCCAACCGTAGTAGGACTAATCATCTGGCTGAGAGGTCGGGTTCTGGTAGCTCAAAATGCTCAGCTACTGTTTCCGAGAGTTCAATTCCCGAGGCAGATGCGGCTGCCTTAGATATGATTATGAATGACAGCATAAGTGACGATTCTGTCAGTGCTAGCGAAATAGACTCATTAGTTAATGGGGATATATATTCCAACACAAACACCAAAAAATCAAATTACATACTTGTTTGACCAGGGAGACTTTTAATAAAATTATTTTGATCACTGCTCAACTCCCAAACTAAAAATAAATGAATTCCAAATGTAGTTGTTTCTCTGAACTGATTCAAGGTAAGGCTTGTTATTTTTTTTCAAATTCATTACATTCATTTTCTATTTTAAACATCTCATTGTTACAGGTTTATTGAAAACATCCATATTTATTGTTCCTCAGAATCTATATAATCCATGTATCTATATACTCAATCTGTAACATAAATTTACACAATACAGGTACACTTACATAATCAGCATAATCTGTAAATAAGAAGATATAATGGTGTTAAATCTGAAAACAAATATATATATATAAACATAAATAAAAAATTGGTTTCTGTAATTTAAGTTACTACAAATGGTGTCTGAGATGGTATTTTAAAATCAGGGTTGTTACAAATGGTGTGGTGTTAGGTTTCAAGGATGGTCAATGGAAGTTAAGATTTTTTTTTTTTTTTTAAATATTTATTCACATTTAGTAAACACTTACAATTACATATAGTATGCATTTCATTACATTTATATCATATATACCCATATATACCTCAATGCAGATTCATTTTAAATTTAATATTATTACTATTAATCTCCTTTTATTAGACTCCAGATTGAAAATCTGGAGTCTATTGTTTTTGCCTGTTTTCTTTATTATTATTATTAGACTCCAGATGAAAATCTGGAGTCTATTGCTTTTGCCAGTTTTCTTTATTATTATTATTATTATTATTATTAGACTCCAGATTTCATCTGGAGTCTATTGCTTTTGCCAGTTTTCTTATTATTATTATTATTATTAGACTCCAGATGAAATCTGGAGTCTATTGTTTTTGCCATTATTGTTTATTCTTATTCTTATTATTCTTATACTGATCACGTTTTCTCAACAACTATGAGGTATCTTTTCGAGACAATTATATGGTCAATTAAGGTTCAGTATCTAGTTGGTGGGAAATGGGGTCAAATTTTTATCTAGGTCAAAGGTCAAGAACTAGGTCAAATCCAGTACTTTGTCACTTTTTTCGATTTTCTCGGTCGTCCTTCAATATTTTCGATCCGGTTTTTTTTCATTGTGTTCCTTATAAAAAAGTAGGAAAGCTAGGGTCGATTTAGTTTTTTGAAATCTCAAACCCATTTCGAGATATCAGTGTCCGAAAACGAGGTCCAAAAAAAATTCTCCGAATCAAATGTCCAGGATATTAGTCTTATAGGAAATTTTCTCAGGATTCCGAATCTGAAAACCAAATTTGAATCAGACTTCCGGTTCGGAAGTTATGGCGTTTTGAAAGCTCAAAAATCGCTAAATTTGGTGCCCATGTTAAGTCAATGGGAAAAAAAGATTTTTTTGAAGTGAAAAATACGAAATATAGACTGAGTTCAGCTAAATATAATGAAAGCTTTTAAAAGAATGGGACCTGAAAAGTCATCTAGCTTCAAAATTTGGACACCAAAATGCCTAGGTCAAAATCTAGGTCAAATTCAAAGTTTTTCCTTATTTTTGCTATTCTGACACTACAGATTAATTATATTCTTCGAAATTTTGTATACATGTAGCCAAGAGTGCGCTAATAGTGTTAGCCTTTTGCCGTCAGAAAGTATTTTGCCCCACTTTTGAGATATGGTGTCCGAAAAGTAGGTCAAAATAAAAAATTCTCCAAATTTAACGTGTGAGTTATGAACTAAGTATAGAATTTTCTCAGGAATCCGAATCTGCAAACCAAATTTCGATTTGACTTCAGGTTCGGAAGTTATGACATTTTAAAAGCTCAAAAATCGCTATATTTGGTGCCCCATGTTATGTCAATGGGAAAAAAGATTTTTTTTGAAGTGTAAAATACGAGACATAGACTAAGTACACCTTAAAATAATGAAAGCCTATTGAAAGAAGGGAACCTCGAAGGCTACCTAATTTCAAAATTTGGACACCAAAATCCCTAGGTCAAAATCTAGGTCAAATTCATAGTTTATCCTTATTTTTGCGATTCTGACACTACACTTTAATTATATTCCTCGAAATTGTGTATGCATGTAGCCAAGAGTGTGCTAATAGCGTTAGCCTTTTGCCGTCAGAAAGTATTTTGACCCACTTTTGAGATATGGTGTCCGAAAAGTAGGTGAAAATAAAAAATTCTCCAAATTTAACGTTTGAGTTATGAATTAAGAATAGAAATTTCTCAGAAATCCGAATCTGCAAACTAAATTTCAATCCGACTTCCGGTTCAGAAGTTATGGCGTGTCCGAAAAGTAGGTCAAAATAAAAATTCGCAAAATTTAACGTATGAGTTATGAATTAGAGGTAGAATTTTGTCAGGAATCCGAATCTGCAAATCAAATTTCGATCCGACTCCCGGTTCGGAAGTTATGGCGTTTTGAAATTTCAAGAAAAATCGATCTGATGGTATCCTGATAGAAAGTCAAGAGTAGAGAAGAAAATATTGAAAAATGCATCCATCCTTCCTTTCTGATCCTATCCTATCCTTCCTATCTACCCTTGCTTCGTATCCTCTCCTTCCTATTCTATCCCTTCTTCCTATTCTATTCTATCCTTCTTTCCTATTCTATCCTATCGTTCCTTCCTATTCTATCCTATCCTTCCTTCCTTTTTCATCCATCCATCCATCCATCTTTTGCTGGATGACTTAGCTTATTTTGGATGACTTGGCTTATTCTGGATGACTCGGCTAAAAAAAGTCTAGATCTGGAGTCTGAAATTGAACTCGTTCAATTTCCAAAATCTAGTTATTATTATTTTTCTTTCCGAACCAGTTTTCTCAGCAACTAGAAGGACTTACTTAAATCTGTTAACACAGTCAACTGGGTAATGAGACCTAGTTTCTGGGAAATTAGGTCAAATGTTTATCTAGGTCAAAGGTCAAAAACTAGGTCAAATCGTTAGTTTTCACTATTTTACGAGTTTTCTCAGTCGTCCTTCGGTATTTTCGCTCTGGGTTTTTTTCATCATGTTCCTTAGAAAAAAAGGTAATTCCGAAAGGCAAACCGTTTTTTGATTACTCTTACCGATTTTGAGATATGGCGTCCGAAAAGTAGGTCAGAACATAAAAAGTTCTCCAAAATCAACGTGTGAATTATCAAATAAGTGTAGAATTATCTCAGGAATCCGAATCTGCAAACAAAATTTCGATCCGACTTCCGGTCCGGAAGTTATGGCGTTTTGAAATCTCAAAAATCGCTAAATTTGGCGCCCATGTTAAGTCAATGGGGAAAAAGACTTTTTTCGAAGTGTAAAATACAAGATAGAGACTGAGTACAGCTTAACATAATGAATGCCTTTAAAAGAAAGGGACCTCAAAAGCTACATAGCTTCAAAATTTGGACACCAAAATGCCTAGGTCAAAATCTAGGTCAAATTCATAGTTTTCCTTATTTTTACGATTCTGACACTACACTTGAATAATTTGCTTCAAAATTTTGTATACAGATAGCAAAGAGTGTGTTAATAGTGTGAGCCTTTTGCCGTCAGAAAGTATTTTGACCCACTTTTGAGATATGGTGTCCGAAAAGTAGGTCAAAATAAAAAGTTCTCCAAATTTAACATATGAGCTATGAATTAAGGGTAGAATTTTCCCAGGAATCCGAATCTGCAAACCAAATTTCAATCCGACTATCGGTTCGGAAGTTATGGCGTTTTGAAATCTCAAAAATCGCTAAATTTGGTGCCCCATGTTATGTCAATGAGAAAAAAGATTTTTTTGAAGTGTAAAATACCAGATATAAACTGAGTACAGCTTAACATTCTGAAAGCCTTCAAAAGAAGGGGACCTCGAAGGCTATCTCGCTTTAAAATTTGGACACCAAAATGCCTAGGTCAAAATGTAGGTCAAATTCATAGTTTTTCCTTATTTTTGCGATTCTGACATTACACTTTAATGATTTGCTTCGAAATTTTGTATACAGGTACCAAAGAGTGTGCTCATAGTGTAAGCCTTTTGCCGTCACAAAGTATTTTGACCCACTTTTGAGATATGGTGTCTGAAAAGCAGGTCAAAATAAAAAGTTCTCCAAATTTAACGTATGAGTTATGAATTAAGGGTAGAATTTTCTCAGGAATCAGAATCTTTAAACCAAATTTCGATCCAACTTCTGATTAGATAGTTATAGCCGTTTGAAGTCTCGAAAAGTCGATATGATGATATCCCCATGTTAAGCCAATGGAGTCGAAGATAACATTCTTAAGAGTTGTCTAAATGTCTATATTCTAGCTGACTCAGCTTATTCTGAATGACTCAGCTTACAAGTATTTGGATGACTCAGCTTAAAAAAAGTATTAAATCTGGAGTCTTAAATTGAACTTGTTCAATTTACATGTCTAGTTATTCTTCCTCCTTCCCAGATTTCTCACCAACTAGAAGAGCTTACTTTAAGCTGCTTACATGATCAACTAGGGAATGTATCTGGCTTTCTGGGAAATTAGGTCAAATTTTTATCTAGGTCAAAGGTCAAGAACTAGGTCAAATCCAGTACTTTGTCACTTTTTTCAATTTTCTCGGTCGTCCTTCAATATTTTCAATCCGGGTTTTTTTCATTGTGTTCCTCATAAAAAAGTAGGGGAAAACAGGTCGATTTAGTTTTTTGATATCTCAAACCGATTTCGAGATATCAGTGTCCGAAAACGAGGTCCAAAAAAAAGTTCTCCCAATTCAATGTCCACGCTACTGGTCTTGTAGGAAATTTTCTCAGGATTCCGAATCTGAAAACCAAATTTAGATCCGACTTCCGGTTCGGAAGTTATATCGTTTTGAAAGCTCAAAAATCGCTAAATTTGGTGCCCATGTTAAGTCAATGGGAAAAAAGATTTTTTTGAAGTGAAAAATACGAAATATAGACTGAGTTCAGCTAAATATAATGGAAGCTTTTAAAAGAAGGGGACCTCAAAAGCCATCTAGCTTAAAAATTTGGACACAAAAATGCCAAGGTCAAAATCTAGGTCAAATTCAAAGTTTTTCCTTATTTTTGCGATTCTGACACTACACTTTAATTATATTCTTCGAAATCGTGTATACATGTAGCCAAGAGTGTGCTAATAGTGTTAGTCTTTTGCCGTCAGGAAGTATTTTGACCCACTTTTGAGATATGGTGTCCCAAAAGTAGGTCAAAATAAAAAAATCTTCA